CCCCATGGCATCATTAGCGCCCAGCCATTAGCATGAGTAGAATAAAATAGATTTTAGCATGTACAGTCTCTAACAGGTGATTATTAATGTTGCTCTCCTTTCTTTTGTTCTCCTAGGCTGCAGATAGTCCAAAGTTAAACATGAAAAATTTATGAGGGCCAATCTTTGCCCAAACAACAGTGTCTGACTGACATTCTCTAGCTTAAAACTGTAAATGGATGTTATTTTCTAATTTGTCATTGATAGCTTCAGATTCTATGCTTTGAGGTTTTGCCATTAAACTTTGTTCTCCATGCTTTTTTTTTTCAATTTCAACAACTATATATTAACTATATATTAAACCCCTTCATAATACTTTATGTAACAAGCAGCTCTTTACAGAACAGTCTTGCTCTAGTCTTATTCCTTAACTACATAAAATTAACTTAATGTTATTGTATTAACTTAAAAAAATAACTTAATTAATTAAAATTAACTTAATGTTATTGTATCAACATCTAGCTCCTGGGACAAACCAATCCCTAGCATAACTCCACTAATTACAATAGAATGACAATAATGGTAAGAATTATGTCTATAAGAAATTATACCAAATACATTTTCACTAATTTTTACATAAAATTGAGGTTAATTGATTATATGACAACCACACAACTGGAAGCAAGCTTGTTCCATTTCTTGCTCAGAATGCTAGGCAATAATTATAATCTTCCTAAAATATATTTTGGCTCTGGTAACTGGTGTCTCAGAGCCAAGAATACAGCCCAGAGCAAGATAGGGATTATTCTTACTTTACAGATGTTGTGGAGGCACTCTGTTGTCACTGGCTGGTAAACCAGCTCCTGACAGCAGACACACATAAAAGATTGTTCCAGTTTCTTCAGAAAATTCTAGTATAGAGCAAAAGAAAAAAAGTAGATTAGAGGTAGATCCACAAACATGCAAAAAAGCATTATTATTAAAACCTACTAAACTTTTTTAAAAATAATTTGCCTGAGTACTATCATTATTATATATATTAAAATTAGGTACAAACTAATGGGCCAAAATCACAGACCTAAAGTGAGAAAGAAATTTGGCCTTCATAGCATTTGGTAAATGTACGGATACCTTCATAAATACTTACTTAACATCCTTGTTAATCATTCTTTTCCCAAACTCAGGTAGCATGCTCTAATAATGTTAAACAAGTGCTGGGAGCTTTTAAATAAAATATTCAGTATGATTATAGGACAGCTTGACATTGCAAGGAAATTGCTTACATTGACAAGGAGATTGCTTACACTAAAACTCTTCTATGTCAATCTCCAAGTCTCAGTTCAAAATACAGATTTCTTTACCAGCATTATGCCTATATTTGTGAACATTTTACATAAAGACATTTCCACACTTTCTACAGCTATTACCTCTACCTATCTTCTAATTATTCAGCATGTTATAGTGCTGTTCACAGCTTCTTCTGGCTTCTTATTTCCTCAGAAGTAAACCTCTATTGTGTTCAGTGCAAAGCATACATTTAATAAATTGTTACATTAAAAAATGTTGGAAGACTCATCGTAAATGATGTTCAAGATCCTGCGAGAAGGAAGCTGGACAAGAAGTAGGATTGCAACCCTGAACTTCAAGAGAGTTAACTTTGACCTCTTCAGGGAGCTCCTTGGAGGAATCCCCTCCAAGGATTCCAGGATCCTAGAAGGAAAGGGGGTCTAGGAGAGTTGGCTAATATTCAAACACCACTTCCTCCAAGCTCAGGATCGGTGCATTCCTACAGGAAAGAAGTCGAGCAAGGCGGGCAGGAGACCTGCGTGGATGGACAAGGAGCTGTTGGGTAAACTTAATGAGAAAAAGAGCATGTACGTACTGTGGAAGAAGGGCCAGGCCACATGGGAAGAATATAGGAACATTGTCAGAGAATGCAGGGATGCAACGAGGAAGGCCAAGGCCCGTTTGGAATTAGAGTTAGCGAGAGATGTCAGG